ATCGGTGTAGATCTCGCACCGACCACCATACAAATAGTGCCTCCAAATCTTGAGCGTGTGGACTACGGCTGCCAACTCGATGTCATGAGTCGGGTAGTTCTCCTCCTGGGGCTTCAGCTGTCGCGAAGCATAAGCGACAACCTTGCCCTCCTGCATCAGCACGCACCCAGGTCCCTGTTTCGAAGCATCACTATAGATAGTGAAACTCCGTGTAGGGTCCGGAATAGTCAGCACGGGTGCCGTAGTCAACCTCCGCTTGAGCTCCTGAAAGCTCGACTCACAACGGCTACTCCAATCGAACCTAGTCCCTTTCCTCGTCAAGCGTGTCAAGGGTAGGGCTATCTTCGAAAACCCCTCAATGAACCTCCTGTAGTAGCCTGCTAACCCGAGAAAACTCCGTATCTCGGTAACAGACCTAGGTGCTGACCAATTCCTCACTGCCTCGATCTTCCCGGGATCGACCTCAATGCCCTCGGTCGTAACAATGTGACCGAGGAATGCCACTCGATCGAGCCAAAACTCGCACTTCGAGAACTTGGCGTACAGTCTCTCCCGCCTAAGAGTCTCCAACACGATCCTCAAATGCTCCTCGTGCTGGGCTGTGCTCCTCGAGTAGACCAAAATGTCATCTATGAAGACGATGACAAACTGGTCCAAGAATGGGTGGAAGACACGGTTCATGAGATCCATGAATACTGCCGGCGCATTGGTCAAGCCGAACGGCATCACGACAAACTCATAGTGACCGTATCGGGTACGAAACGCGGTCTTCACCACGTCGGACTCCCGAATCCTCAACTGATGGTAACCCGAACGAAGATCTATCCGGGAAAACACACGGGCACCTCTCAGCTGGTCGAATAAGGCCTCTATTCTTGGGAGTGGATACTTGTTTTTCACCGTCAACCGGTTCAAGTCCCGGTAGTCGATGCACATGCGCAGTGTCCCGTCCTTCTTCTTCACAAAGAGGACAGGTGCTCCCCAAGGTGAAACGCTCGGCCGGATGAAGCCGAGACCCAACAACTCCTGAATCTGAGCCTTCAACTCCTGAAGCTCTTTCGGCGCCATACGATACGGCGCTTTCGATACTGGCCCAGCTCCAGGCAACAGGTCGATCGTGAACTCCACCTGACGGCTAGGTGGTCCTCTCGGTAGCTGATCCGGAAAAACGTCCACGAAATCTCTCACTATGGGTACATCTCCGGGCATGCGCTCCTCCGAAGGTTCCCCGAGTATAGTGACTAGATAGCCCTGACAATCATCCCTCCGTAGGCACTTAGTCGCCTTCGCCATGGAAATGATACGCGGTAAAGTCCTCGTCCTCGTCCCGAAGAATGTGATGTGGTCTCCATCGGCTAAGTGCAACGTCACCTCTCTATCACGGCATCAAATGTCTGCGTGATATCTCTCCAACCAATCCATGCCGAGAATAAGGTCGAAGTCCCTCATCTCGATCACGAATGCGTCTACCTCTAGAGTTATGCCTCCAATACATATGCTAAG